GGAGAAAGCAGCAGCCAGTTGTGGTGGCCTTTAATCTCAGCACTGGCAGGGGACCTCTGTGAGGTCAGCCTGGTCTACGAAGAGAGTCTAGGCTAGCCAGGGCTCTATTACAGAGAAACTCTGTCTCAAAAAACCAATAATAATAATTATATTTAAACTAAAAAATAAAAAATAAGAAATAGCTATAACAAAAGTAGGGAGAATTTTGTTTTTGTTTTTGTTTGTTTGCTTGTTTGTTTCAAGACAGGGTTTCTTTGTATAGCCTTGGCTGTTCTATACTTGCTTTGTAGACAAGGCTGGCCTCGAACTCACATGCAATCCGCCTGCCTCTGCCTCCCTGAGTGCTGGAATCACAGTAGGATTTTTTTCTTTTTTTAAGTAGAGTGAAAGCAATCCAAAGAAAAACTTTAAAAGAGGTCATGCAGCCGAAGAAGGAGAAAAATCTCAGTGAAGATATGTGGTGAAGACAATTTGTGATGGCTTTGAAGTCTGTTTACTTAGCCCAAATGGAATCCATTCCAAGGATTATTTTCCTTCTTTTCAACAACAGAGACATCCGTCTGAGGCTTGGACGGAAGGAGTAAGGTTGTAAAGACGGCTGTGGTGCACACCTGTATTCTCCACACTTGAGAGGCTGAGGCAGGAATACCTGGAGTTCAAGCCTGGGCTACATAGTGAGAACCTGTCTCAAACAAACAAAACCCAAAGTAAAGAAGCACAGAAGATGGGAGAAGAGGCCTCAGTTGGTCCTCTTTTAAGAGAGGAAAAAAATATGGACCCACCACACCCCAGCACCTCTTATTCCACTTATTTCTAGCTCACATTACAGAGGTTTAGGATTTCTATCATGGGAGCTGGGTGTGGTGGCACATGCTTTAATCTACTCAGGAGGTAGACAGGAGGATCTCTGTGAGTTGGATGCCAACCTGGTCTACATAGCAATACCCTGGACAGCCAAGAATACACAGAGAGACTCTGTCTCAAAACAAAATGAAAAAAAAAAAAAAAGAATTCTAACATTAGACTGCAGCAATGGATTAGCAGTTACAACACTGGCTGTTCTTCCAGAAGACCTGGGTTCAATTCCTAGCACCTACATGGCAGATCACAACTATCCAGAGGATCTGATGCCCTCTTCTAAGCCCAAAGGACACCAGGCCTGTACATGGACTCATAAACATAAATAAAAATGTTAAATTCTATTATGGTTTTGAGCTTGCTATTTCTACCTGGAAAAAGCCTTAAAATGTTTTCCTCAGATGGGTATGGTGGCTCATGGTTTTAATCCCAGCATTGCAGAGGCAGAAAGGCAGAGGGGCAGAGAGAGGTAGAGACAGAGGGGCAGAGAGAGAGAGGCAGATAGAGAGGCAGAGGGGCAGAGAGAGGTGGAGGGGCAGAGAAGCAGAAAGGCAGCAGGCAGATCTCTACAAGTTCCAGAACAGCCCCTCTTAAAAAAAATTAATTAAGGGCCATCTTCTTTCTTTCTTTTAGACATGTCCTCATGTATTTCAGGCTAGCTTTGAACTTGACATGTAGTTGAGGATAGCACTGATTTTCTGATTGTTTTGCTTCAACCTTCTGAGTGCTAGGATTATACGTACATTCTACCATACCAGTTTTATACAGTCATGGGGATCAAACCCAGACTGTCCATGCTAGGCAAGCACTTTACCAATTGAAATACATTTTTTAAAGGTTTTTTGAGACAGGGTTTTTCTGTGTAGCCCTGGCTGTCCTGGGACTCACTCTGAAGACCAGGCTGGTCTCAAACTTATAGAGATCTGTCTGCCTCTTCCTTCAGAGTGGTGGAATCAAAGGTGTGTGCCACTATCGCCTGGCTAAAAAAATACATTTTTTAATAAATTGTGGCTAAGGAACCAGAGAAATGGCTCAGCCCTAAGGATTCTTATGGCTCTTATAGAGGTCCCAAGTTGAGTTCCTGGGTCCCACACTGAGAGATTCACAATCACCTGTAACTCCAGTTCCAAGGGATCCAACAACTTCCTGCCTCAGCAGATATATGCATGCACACGGTACACACAAACTCCTGCAGCTGCAGACACGCACACGAAGACACACACACACACACACACACACACACACACACTCGTTTTTTTAAAAAGGAAGTCCCATTGTTAACTATACAAGGAATAAGCCATGCCTAATAGTACTAGCTCTCAGGAGGTGGATAGGGTTATCTCTGGGTTCAAGGTCAACCTGATCTACATAGCAAGTTCCAGGCCAGCTGCAGCTACTTAAAGAGAACATGAGTTCAGACAGAGAAATAAGTAAATAAATAATGTAATAAATAAATTAAGTACAAGCTAAAAAAGTGATTATTCAAGTTGATTATTGTGACATGTGCCTGTAATTTCAGGAGAGGAGGCAGAGCGATAACAAAAACAAGCAAACAAGATGCCCTTAGTCCACACACATCACCAGAGCAGGAGGTTACAAATTCAATGCCCTCTGTTTAGCTCTCCAATGAAGATCCCACAAAAGCAATAAAACAGCAGAAATATCCAAAAGGTATAAAGTGGTTGACGCAGTCCCTGGCTCAACCTTTAATCGTGATCTCCTGCCTCTCCCCCTCCCACGTGCTGACATTACAGGGATGTGCCAGCATGTCTAACTGTGTTGGTTCTTGATTTCAGGCAATCCTTCTGGTGTGATGGTTCAGCAGTGAAGCCTAATGACCTGAGTTCAATTCCCCAAAATGGCCTTCTTACCTCACTCAGACTTTATGGTGCTCATATATAGAGACACACAAAATAAATTAACAAAAAATAAGTGAAAACCTTTGTATACATTATTTGGACACGTAATTCATATGACACGAACATTTTCAAGTATACAATTCAGTGTTTTATCTTATTTTTTTGTTTTTGCTTTATTTGTGTGTGGGTGTGTGTGGGAGTGGTATATGCATGTGTTCATATCTGTACAGGTATATACCCACCCGCACACATATGTCAGAGGTCAGAGGTCAATATCAGATGCCTTCTCTATCACCCTCCACCTAATTTTAAGACAGAGACTGCAATTGAAACTGGAACTCTGTTTTGGCTAGAGTGGCGGCAAGTGAGCTCCTGGATTTACCTGTCTCTGTCTCCCAGAACTGGGATTACAGACATGCTACTATGCCTGGCTTCTGTGTGGGTGCTGGGGCCAGAACCTACATCTTCAAGCTTGACCAACAAGTACTTTATTAAACAAGCCATCTCCCAACATGCTTGTTCTTGAAACAAGCTCTTACTATGCAAAGAGCTCAAGCCAGCCTGGGTTACATAATAAGTTCTAAGTCAACATGGGAAAAAAAGTCTTCAAAGGGAAAAAAAAGTTTTCAATTAAAAAATAAAAATGAGAGGTTATCTTACACACCTGGTTATTTTACGGCATATACATACATACTCCAAATATAGAGTATATTGTGTAGCAATGTACAGTATATATATATTAAATAAGATGTTTATACATATCAAGCACTCAATGATAATATAACTTTTAAATGTTTATTGATTTTTATGTGCATGTATGTTTTGCCTGCATACATGTCTTTGCACCACATGCCTGAGAAGAGCAGAAGTGTGTCAGATTCCTGGGTCTGGAGTTATGGGTGGTTGGGAACCGCCATGTGGGTGCCGGGAACTGAACCCAGGTCCTCTACAAGAGCAGCAAGTGCTCTTTGCTCCTGAGCCGTCTCCTCAGCCCACATTGACAGAATTTTTTGTTTGTTTGTTTTGAGACAGGGTTTCTCTCTAGAGTCCTGGCCACCCTGGAACTTTCTCGATAGACCTGCCTCTGTCTCCCAAGTGCTGGGATTAAAGGCATGCACACCACCACCTGGCGACAGAATGTTTAAAAAAAGCATTGCCAAGATAAGTAATAAATAAATCATATGCTTGGCATGTAATCCTATGACTCAAGAAGCTGAAGCAGGAGTCCAAGGTCAGCTTGCACTGCATAGTATGTTTGAGGCCAGCCTGGGGTAGGACCGGAAATCCTATCTCTAAAACCCAATCAAACAAAAAGACTTGAGTCCTTCAACAGTGGAATGGGATACATCACCAGCCATCAGCTTCATTGTTACTATTTCAGTGATACTGTGGAAGGGCTTCCTGATGGAGAATTACAGGACAGTGGAAGGATGCAGGAAGATATGGGGTTGATCTCCAGCACCACACACAAGCAAAAACAGGTGTCTCTGCTACATGGGAAATAGATTAATTCTGAGGTCCTACAAACCACAGAACATAACTGACATGAAAATTTTAATGATCAGTGACAAGTGAAATAAAGAATCCAGAAATGGGTGTGATGTTGCCATGTAGTATTAACTTCAATCACACACACAGTGGGAACATTCTGAACCATCTTTGATCTGGACTGGAAGCTGATTCTAGAACTAAACTAAAGTCAATTAAGATCAGCGAAAAGGGAGCCAGAGAAGTAAGTGATTGGTAAAGCAGAGGTCTGCCGTGCACACCGCCCTTGGTCCTAGTCCTAGCACTGAAAAAGAAGGTTAACACCAACGGGCAGTATTAGCAGAGTAGGCAATACAGACATTACTTCCTAAGTAGTTTTGCTAATGTCTCTGAAGATTTAATTGCTCCACCTAGAGTCCTACACAGACTGTAGCCAAAATAAAGTGAAATTAGGACTCTTCCTAGGAAGTAGAAGCACAAGAAGAACGGGAACCAGAATGATGCAGTCATAAAGAGTCAGACCAGGAAATGGAGACAGGCCAATAAGCTAAGACGCCCAGGCTCCAGTGGCCTCTGAAGTAACTTTTTGCCTTTTAGTGTTGTCTATACCTCAGGAAAATACTTAATGAACTTACCATAAATATTCATTAGCAGTTTTTATTAGATATTTATATTTTGAATTCTCTTATTTCCAACTATTTTCTTCATTAGCTTTTGCTTGTTCCAAAGACACAGCCATCATCCCTTGCATCTTTACTTGTCTTCAAAATTCATCAGTGCCTGAACTGTAAAGAAACAAACTGTGAGGCCAGAAAGCTAAGAACGTTTGAACACATATATGCTTGGTAAAGGCCTTGCTTTCTGGGTTCCAGATTCCCACACAAACTTTGACTAATATTTACTCTAAGCTACTTAAATCTACCTTCTTTTTACCAAGTTCATCAAGTTCTGCAGTCTTGGAAAAACAAACACTATGCATTTCCTCCATTTGCAGTGCCTACACTTTATATAGTTACATAAAATTGTGCCTGTATATTTGACATGATAGAAAGTTGAAATAAAATTGACTAGGGTACAAAGATAACTAACAGAAAAAGCAGGGTAGCTCAGCGGATAAAGATGCTTGCTCTCCAGCCTGACTGTCCAAGTTCAATTCTTAGAATCCATATAATGGAAGGATAGAACTGACTCTCAAAAGTTCTCCTCTGACCTCTACATGCACACACTCCTCCAACAATAAGTAAGAAATGTTAAAGGGAGGATGGGCTAGCAAGAGGGATGAGAAAAGAAAGGTTAGAAATGTATGGGAGATATGATGAACATCTAATACACACTTGTATGAACTCTTAAAAATAATTTTTTAAAGATCTGGATTCTGAGCTAAGTACGGGAAAACATACCTTTAATCTCAGTACTTGGAAGGAGGAGGCAGGCGAATCTCTGTGAATTCCAGGCCATCCTGGCCTACACAGTCAGTTTCAGGCCAGCCAGGGCTACATAGTGAGACCTGTCTCAAAAAAAAAAAAAAAAAAAAGATAGATAGATAGATAGATAGATAGATAGATAGATAGATAGATAGGCAGGAAGGCAGATCTGGGCTCTGCTTTGGACAGATGAGGCAGGAGACTGCTAGGATTTGAGGCCTGCCTAGGTTACCCTAGGTTACATATCAACATAGTGAAGAGCTAAGAGTAAGACCCTGTCTTATAAAACAAATTCTAAAAAGTTCCTTTCTACTTCTTCCTTCCTCTCATCTTGTCTCTACCTACCAGGATAGGGCTAAGAATGACTGGAAAGAACAGAATTAACCTCAGGCAACATTTTGATACAAACAAAAATAGTCTTTGACATGCTGCCTGAAATTTCATGGCATGTACGTGGAGATCAAAGGACAACTTTGGAAGTTGGTTCTTTTCTTTCGGTTATCAGACTTGGTGGCAAATACCTGTACACACGGAGCCATCTTGCTGACTCCTAAATGTTATAAATTCCCATGTCCTTTCTGTGTCACCATGCACATACATACATGTGCATGGTATACAAATCCTGATGACTAATTTAATTCTTAGTTTCAATTCGGTTCATTTTAAAATGATATGAGGTAGGCTGGTGAGATGGCTCTGTGGTTAGGAGTGCTACGCAGCACTCTTCCGGGGACCTGGGTTTGATTCCCAGCACCCAAATGGTAGCTACAGACTGTAACTCCAGCTCTGGGAGGGCCCCGTCCTCTTCTGGCCTTTGTGGGTGCCAAGCACATATGTAGTGCAGAGGCATCGTGGGGGCAAAACACCAATACATAGAAAAGTTTTTAAAAATTAACTTTTAAATGTTAAAAATGTAACGAGCAAAGCAAAAACAAACAAACAAACAAAAAAACCCCAGATGTTTTTGGGTAGGTTTATGTGTGTGTATGTACACGCATCTTCCTCTGCCGTCTCCTTTTTATTTGAGAAATTTTACTAATTCAAATTATCTCCAAATGGTAAAATGTATGAAAAACGACTTGGAGCAGAAAAGTGTTCCACTTATAACAAATTATTCTGTTAGCTCACATACTTCTCTGGAGACTGATGCTAAAAGGGCTGCTAGGAAAGGAAGTCTGGTTTACTGACCTCTTTAGAGGATGGAGCAGTGATTACTTTTTCTAATTCTAGCTCTCCAGTGCAACCCTGAGCCCTACTGCTCAGGCTGAATTGTGGTCTTCAATGAGATGGGAATCTGCAGCACTGTTCAGCATGAACCACCTTGGCCAGATTTTTTTTTTTTTTATTAATTACACTTTATTCATTTTGTATCCCCCCATAAGCCCCCCCCTCCCCTCCCGATCCCACCCTCCCTCCCCTTTCTGCATGCATGCCACTCCCCAAGTCCACTGATAGGGGAGGTTCTCCTCTCCTTTCTGATCTTAGTCTATCAGTTCTCATCAAAAGTGGCTGCATTGTCCTCTACTGTGGCCTGATAAGGCTGCTCCCCCCTCATTTTTAACAACACCAACTGGCCATCAAGCTTTCAGCCCTTGTGAGGCTTGAGCGCCCCCTCGTGGAGAACTCGGATTTCTAGCTCTTCTCTAAGTTACCATTTTACGTGAGTGGAGGTGATGGAGGTAGAGGCACTGCTTTCATATACTTAAAATTCCTGGACCCCACCACTGCCTTTAATCCTCACCTGCAAATTCTTGCAACTTCTTGCGCTCCTCTAGGTTATACTGAAGCTTTTCCAGTAGCTCAAAATATCGGAAGAGTGAATCTCTGGGCCAAACAACACGGTCATCCTGATCCATGTCCATCAGCCCAGGTAGGTTCTCATGCACAAGGGTCTCCCAGTCCAGCTTCTCTGTGAGGAAGAACGCCTCTTAGAAACACACCTAAGGAGGGAGGGTGAGACTGGGAGGAAAGGGGGCAGGGGCTACCACTGGGATGTAAAGTTAATAATCTAAAAAAGGAAAAACAAAACCATGCCGAAGCGGTGGCACACCTCCAGTTCCAGAGCCCGGGAGGTGGAGGTCCGCTACACAGAGCTCTAAGCTTATACTCGGGCTACAGTGTAAAAAGGGGAGGGAAGAAAAGGAGGAAGCGCATGTCTTCTACACGCCTCTCCTCCCACCATTTTGAGCATAAGGCAGAAGAGTTGAGGTTTGAAGTCATCCTAGGCCACAAAACAATGACTGTGGTGCTCATAAGCAAGAGGAATCTGAACTCAAATGGAAGGAGCCATTCTGCTTACCAATGTATTCATGATCAGCTGAAGAGGAGCTTAAGGAAGGTAAAGGAGTGGAGGAAGAGGAAGAGGAAAAGATTTTTCCTTTTGATGAGTCTTTTTGTGATTTTTTAGTTTCATCCTGCTCAGAATCACTTTTATCGGAATCACTTTTCTCAGAGTCACTTCTCTCAGAGTCACTTCTCTCAGAGTCACTTCTCTCAGAGTCACTTTTGTCGGCATCTTTTTTCTCAGTGTCACTTCCCTCATCATCGCTTTTCCCAACCTCACTTTTCTCAATATCACTTTTCTCGGTATCAATGATGACAGATTCTTTAAAAGCTTCTGATAACTGTTTGGAGGGATTTTCTTTACTGATTTCTCTACATACAAAGAAAGACATTCTATTACTTCAAATATACATGCAAGGTGTGACGGCCCACTTAATATGCTTGCTCTGCCAGCTCAGCCCTCCCCGATGTATCTTTAACTGTTCTCTTCCTTCCTCCCAACAGAAAACCTTGTTTTAAATGTGAACCATTTCATACCATTCCTCTGTTCTGCTCCCACTTGCTGGAAATAAAAGTCTAAGAGCCTACAGTAACTTCCTGTAGGCCTACAGAGTCATGCTCCCATGTTGAGGCTGCTTGGATGAGCAGTGTCTCCCACAGGCTCATGTATTTGACTACTTGGTCCCTGGTTGGTGGGACTGTTTGGAGAGGATGTAGAACTTTAGGAAGTAGAGCTTTGTTGGAGGAAGTTATGTCCCTGTGGACAGTTTTCAGAGTCCACAGACTTGTTCCACTTCCAGGTCACTGTCTGTGCTTAATGTTTTCAGTGAAAGTGTGGTTTCTCAGCTTCTTGCTCTGGCAACGCCTTCCCTCCCATGACTCCATTCTCTTTAGAAACTAAGCCAAAATAAACTCTTCCCTCTCTAAGTTACCTTGGCCACGGTGTTTTATCACAGCTGCTGAAAAGCAGCTAATACGCAATCCATTCTTTATTTGACTTCAAATCCTGTTACTCTTTTTCTGCTCCAGATACAACGGTCATTACAGTTTCTCAAATGCATTAGGTGTGCTTCCAATTCAGGGTCTTTGCAGCAGCTGTTCCCTCTGCTGCTAACACTCTCACCATACATACACTCCCAGAAATCTCATCGCTTTCAAGTCTTTGCTCACTTTAAAACTTTAAAATTAAATACCTGTCTAAAACTACAACCCATAGCCCGTCATGACGGGTAAAGGCATGTGCTGCCATGCCCAACTCAAAATTAAAACTTTTTAAGGAGGAAAAAATCCTCCACAAAAACAAAACAATGAGCCCAGCGTGGTAGCACATGTGTTTAACCCTGGCGCTCAGAGGCAGAGGCAGCAGGATCTCTGTGAATTTGAAGCCAGCAATCAAGCTCCAGGACAGCCAGGACTACATAGAGACCCTGTCTCAACAAAACAAACAAAACCCCACATCTTCACCTATTCTCTGCTGCCGTATCTTCTCTTGCTTTCCTAGAAGGATCTCAGTCATTAATTTAGAACCTACACGAATAATCCAGGATGATCCATACCAAGATCTTCAGATGAACCACATCTGCCATGACCCCTTCTTAAAATAAAGCCATATTCATGGGTTTTAGAGAGTGAGGACAGAAATGTATAATTTTGGAGGGTACTATGGATTCTCTGTCAGCAAATCTTCATCTTTGACAAATTCTATCATCTATTCCTTTTAATGTTTCCATCCCAATCCATATACATACTCCTAATTGCCAATCATGTTGCTATTACTTTACCTTGCTAATTCAGGGGATAGATTTTGTCTCCTATTAAACAAAACAAAAAGAAAAAGAAAAAGAAAGAAATTAATATTGGGGAAAAGCTGCAGCTCAGCAGTATAATAAAGAACATAATTCAGATCTTTAAGGAAAGAAAACGAGGCAATGAGGTAGAATAGAGGAACCCGCAAAGCATATAAAGAAACACTAGAATGAGGCCTTTTTTTAAAAAAAAAGATTTATTTATTCATTATTTATAGAGTATTCTGCCTGCATGTGTACTTGCATGCCAGAAGAGGGCACCAGATCTCATTATAGATGGTTGTGAGCCACCATGTAGTTTCTGGGACTTGAACTCAGGACCTTTGGAAGAGCAGCCAGTGCTCTTAACCTCTGAGCCACCTCTCCAGCCCCCAGAGGACTTCTTTTTTTAAATTTATTTAATTTTATTTCATAGGTGTGAGGTTGTCAGATTCCCTGGAACTGGAGTTATAGACAGTTGCAAGCTGCCATGTGGGTGCTGGGAATTGAACCCAGGTTCTCTGGAAGAGCAGAGAATGCTCTTAATCACTGAGCCATCTCTCCAGCCCCAAATGAGGACTTCTTAACTCTATATAAAAATAGGGTCACAAGGCCAGGGAAAAGAAACAGGGAAGGAGTTGAGAAGTACCATTGGGTTTATGGAAGCTGACCTCTGGATAATCCGCCGCTTGAATATGTCAGCTTTATACTGAACCTCCAGGTGGGTCATCTCCTCACTCAGCTCATTTCTGATATTCTGAAAGTTAGTAACTGCCCAAGGGGCCATTAGGAGTTGGAAGATGGAAGTGACTAGACCAAAAAGAATGCTTAGTTTGGAAGAAACAAGATGAAATATCTATTCCAATATCCAAACGTCCTTGCTACCCTGGGTTTCTGCCAATACTCCACCAACCCTGACTGCCAGTTTCTTCCCACCATCCTTTCTACGAAGTTGTACCTCTTGTGTGCTTACCCATCATGGCTACTATGATGTTTCGAAAGATGATGGAGCCAAGCAACAACCAAAGGATGACATAGATGCTGCTGAAGACACGGCTAGCTTCTGGCACCTTCCAGACATCCTGAAGTACTGCATACCAATGATCCAAGGTGAAGAGGATGAACACTGTCACCAGGGAATTCAGTAGGTCCCTAAAAAAAGCAGAGTGTGAATATGCAGAAGCAGAAATCTAAACCTTTCAGAAACAGGTTTTTGTTTTGAGTCGCACTTTTCACCTGGCCGCCTGCTGCCTCTCCTCCTCCTCTCTCCCCCTCCTCCCTTCTCCTTTGTCCCCACTCCTCCTCCTTTTGGAGATCAAGTTTCTCTGTGTAGCCCTGGCTGTCCTGGAACTTGGTCTGTAGACCAGGTTGGTCTGGAACTCAGAGGTCTGCCTGCCTCTACCTCCCAAGTGGCGGTATTAAAGGTGTGTGCCACCACTGCCCAGTTCTTATTATATTTGTATTCTTTTTGTGTGTGTGTAGCCTTGGCTGTCCTGGACTCACTTTATAGACCAGGCTGGCCTCAAACTCACAGAGATCTGCCTGCCTCTACTTCCCTGAGTGCTGGGATTACAGGTGCGAGCCACTGTGCCATCTCTCATGCTTATTCTTAAAGCAACATAAAGGCATTTCTTTTTAGTATGCTCTGTGTCTGGGTCCTTTCCTATCACATTCAATATTTCCTAGCTAATCATTCCTCAGTCTGAAATCACTTTTATTTTGCTCCCCTTTATCAGGAATAGCCTATAAATACCTCTCAATATTCCATTAGTCCATATATACTGACTAGAATGGTTTTTGTACGTTCTTATCCATTGAGCCATCTTGCTAGCCCTGATTGAACTTTGTTTTCGAGACAGGGTTTCTCTGTGTGTAGCGTTGGCTGTCCTGGAACTCAGTCTGTAGGCCGGGCTGGCCTCCAACTCATAGAGATCCGCCTGCCCCCGCTTCCTGTGTGCTGGGATTAAAGGTGTGTCCCACCACTGCCTGGCCCTGACTGCACAAGACAGTTAGATCGCCAACTAAAACCTTTTCCGAAGCTCATGCTCTGTAAGTCTACGAATTTATTTTCTTAGTTTGTGTATGGGTGTTTCACCTACATCTATGTGTACCACACTAATAGTTGGTGGCCAAGATGGCTGGAAGAGGGGGACAGATTCCCTAGAGTCAGATGGTTGTAAGCCCCGGTCCATCTCTCTAGGCCTCCTAAAAAAATATTCTGTGTGTATTCTGCTTGTATGTCTATGAATCACACGCATGCCAAAAGAGAGTCTGACCCCAGAACTGGAGTTAGAAATGGTGGTGATCCATTGTGTGGGTGCTGGAAATTAAAACTGGGTCCTCTGGAAGAACAGCCAGTGCTCTGAACCACTGAGTCACTTCTCTGGCCCCTACCCTAATTTTTAGATATAATTTTTTTTATATTTTATTTATTATGTATACAATGTTCTGCCTACAGGCCAGAAGAGGACACCAAATCACATTATAGATGGTTGTGAGCTACCATGTGGTTGCTGGGGATTGAACTCGGGACCTCTGGAAGAGCAACTGGTGCTCTTAACTTCTGAGTCATCTCTCCAGCCCTAGACATAATTTTTATATGATAAAAGAAATTTAACAAACATTCCCATCTAACTTTTTTGGTTTGAATTTTTTAAGACAGGGTTTCTCTGTGTAGCCTTGGCTGTCCTGGACTTTGTAGACCAAGCTGTCCTCAAACTCACAGAACCTCACCTGCCTCTGCCTCCCAAGCACTGAGATTACAGGCGAGCCACCACCACCCGGCTCCTATTTAACAGTCTACCTATACTTGTTTCATGACAGTCTCAGTTGTTAGACAAATAAATTGATTTATTTATAATCCCACATAATGAATAATAATATATACAAATAGCATTTAAAATGTACGTTAGCATAATTATAAATAAGTTACTTGGGGAGTAGGGGCTACAACTCCATCATAAAGCCTTTGCTCGGCATGTATAAAGTTGGGCTTGGTCCTTGGCATGAGGAAAAAAAGCTTCCTGAAAGCTTTTCTGTCTAAAATATTCTTTCTTACTTATTTACCATGTTGTTTTTAATTAATTTATTCTGTAACAAAGTCTCATTATAGCCCTGGGTAGTCCAGAACTCACTGTATCAACCAAGCTGGCTTGGAACTGGTAGCAATCCTCCTGCCTAAGTTGTCAAGGACTAGGAGTGCACGTGTGAGCCTCTTCACCCTTCTGTAAACCGGGATTTTTACAAAAGTATGAGTTAGGTCTACAGCTGGCAGCCAGGCAACCGCAGTCCCAACACTCAGAAGGCAGAGGCAGGCAGATCTCTGTGGGTTTGAGGCCAGCCTGGTCTACCTAATGAGTTCCAGGACAGCCAGGGCTACATAGTGAGACCTGGTCTTAAAAACAAAACAGGAGAGCTAAAACAAGTGTGGTAGTCTGTGTCTTGATCCTTTATTCCCAGTGTTCAGGAGATAAAGGCAGGTGGATCTTTGAGTTCTAGGCTAGCTAAAGGTAAACAGTGAAACCCTGTTTGTTTGTTTTTTTTTTTCCCCTCTCCCAAGACAATTTCTCTGTGTAGCCCTGGCTGTTCTGGGAGCTGCTCTGTAGCCTAGCCGGGCCTCAAACTCAGAGACACTTCTGCCTCTGTCTTCTGAGTTGCTAGGAGTAAAGGCCTGTCCCACAACGTCCACTGAAACCTAGTCTTAGAAAGAAAGAGTTTAGAGCTCTGTATCATGGTATATACCTGTAATCCTAGCACTTGTCTAGCATGCGAAGAACCCAATGTTCAAGTTCCAGTAATACAAGAAGGAAAAAAGAATGCGTCAATAAATTCAAACGGATTTTTTTTTTCTAGCAAGAAATGTCTTTTACATAGAGCTCTTAAAAGGATGTGATTGGTTGATTGATGCAGTGATTGATTGGCTTTTGAGAAAGGGTTTCACGTAGCCCAGGCTGACCTGGAACTTGCAGTATTGCTGAAAATGACTTTGAATTGACCCTTCTATCTCCAATTCCTAAATGCTGAGATTTCAGGCATGCCCATCACATCTGGCTAGGATTTTACTTTTGGATAAGACTAGTAATGCACCTGTGTAATACACATACTTAAAGACAGTGGTTAAATTAGCGATTATGTTTGTGAACTATGGCATCATTTAATCATTTGTTGTGTGTTAAATACCATGCTAAATGTTTAGATGCATTACCCCATTTATCCTCATACTCTTCTGAAGTAGTGCTGCTATTATTCCCATAGTATGCGTGTTGAGGGAGCATAGCACGCTACAGCACAAATTTGGAGGATATAAGTTCTCTTCCTCTGCCTTTACATGGGTTCCAGGAACCTGACTTAGTTCACGAGGCTTGAATGACAAGTAGGTTTACCTTCTGTACCATCTTGCTGCCTATATTCTCGCCCTCCCACCCAATAACAAAAATAATCTTGTAGCATTTGTTATCACCTGATAATAACATAAGGGCTACCAAAACAACATGAATAAATGTTTCAGACTGTTCTCAAAAGACACCTTAAAAAAAAAAAAAGCACTGCACAGGCTTGGTATAAACAGTACAGTCTTGATTAAAGGTAGCATAAACCTTTAATCACCACACTGAGAGGCAAAGGCAGGATGATCTCTGTGAGCTTGAGGTCAGCCTGATCCACATAGTGAGTTCTAGGACAGCCTAAGCTACATAGTGAGTTCCTGTCTCAAACAAACAAACAAACAAACAAACAAAATCAATGTACTGCTGTTGGTATAATGTTCTTTTAAAATGTATATGCCTTACCCTTGTTAATTCAAATGCTGATTTCCCCACCCCCAACTCTCTGGTTTCAATCTGGATATTGCATTGTGATACTCACTCTTGTGTAAACAGGACACAAATAAAGCAACTAGATACAATGTTGTGCATGGGAGGAGCCAGAGGACAGGAAAGAGGGGAGGAGCTAGAGAACAGGAAGGGGCAAGAAGGAGGAGGAGCTCGAGGAGAGGAGACGAGGAGAGCAGAGCGGGAGGAGAGAGCTTGGAGGACTTGGAGCATGAACCAGACCTAAGATTTCACAAAAAGTAAGTATAATGTGGGAAATCTAAATGTTAGGAAACTGAGGGCTTGGAGGTTTAGGAGGGAGTAAATATTGCCCAGCATTGTGTTCTAGATTAACTAAAAACCCAGTCTCTGTGTGGTGATTTGGTTTTACAGCTGCTGAGGATTAACAGCAGCGTTACTAGAAGATAAACCCATAGTAAATATTAATCGCCGCCTACAACAGACTGCCTTCCCAACTCTCAAGTCCTTGACCATTTCTAGTTGGAAACATTTTGTAACAGGGTGATACTATCTCCTTTTAGCATGATCTGACCCAGTTTTCTTGACTTTGTTTTAGAATAGATCTCTTCTGCATCATTTAATAAGATGTGCATGCATTCATCCAAGTGGACAGCACAAAGCTGTGCGTGGTGGTGCACGCCATGATCCCAGCACTCAGGGAAACAGAGGCAGGCGGATCACTGTGAGTTCAAGGCCAGCTTGGTCTACAAAATGAGTCCAGAACAGCCAAGGCTACACAGAGAAACCCTGCCTCCCACCCCCCAAAAAAGTCAGTAACACAACCCTCTACCCTATGTTCACATGCTTATACAGCCATGCCTGGATCCAAGCTCTATTTTGCAAGATCTGAAGATGAGGTTGGTGGGCTTCGCCATCATTTCAGCACCTTCTCTCTCTGGCATTGGTGCAGCCTGGTGGAAGTCACAAGTCACCTTATATGCTTAGATTTCTTTTCTAAGTTGTTGTAGTACTTTCATGGTACAAAGGATTGAATTTAAGGCCTTGCATATGCTAGATAAGCACTGCGCTATCACTGAGCTACAGCTCTATGCCTTAAGGAAAATTTTGGTTTTGGTTTTGGCGTTTTGAGACTGGGTCTCTCTGTGTAGCCCTGGCTGTCCTAGAACTTGCTTTATAGACCAGGCTGGCCTTGAACTCAGATTCACCCGCCTCTGCCTCCCCAGCGCCGCGTCACCATGCATGGATGGAAATATATTTTTAATTCATGTGCATGCACATATGTGTGCAGGTGTCTGATGAGGCCAGAAGGGAGCTCTGAATCTTCTGAAAGTGGTTCTAACCTTGACGCCAGGGCTGGGAACTGAGCTGGAGTCTTCTGCAAAAACTGCAAACATTCTTGGACTTGGGCCATCACTCTATCCCCAAAACTTCTTTTATAACAAGGTCTCCCTATGCAACCTGATTGGTCTGGAATTCACTACTACGTAAACTGAACTGGCCTTGATCTCATGAATAATCCTCCTGCCTTAGCCTTCCTGAGCACATCACAGCTATGTGTTGACATACCCAGTCTCCATCAGTTTAGTTTTATTTTGAGAGAGGGACAAGTGAACCTTGAACTTGTGGGCCTCCTGCCTCAACATCCTGAGTAGCAGGGATTGCATAAACAGGCCATAAGACCTACCTCCATTCTTCAAAAGAGGAACCTGACGTCTGGGGATGTGGCTTAGTTGGTGGAGTGCTCGGCTCATATGTCCTAGGTTTACCCTCCAGAGTCACATAAATAGGCATAGTGGCACACACCAGTAATGGCAGCACTGGGGAGGTGAAGGCAGGATGATAAAACATTCAAAGTCATCCTTTACTACAAAGCAAATCTGAGGCCAGCCTGGGGTACATGAGATATACTCTCAAAACAAAACAAACAAACAACAAGGTAACTGAGTTACAAACGAGGCTTAGCAACTGAAGTGTACTGTATTTAAAGCAGCTAGATGAAAAAGAGTTTTAATTTGAAAGATTCCAAACATAACCACTTGCCCAACAATTGGGATGTAGGATCCAATCAGGTTGCATAGGGAGACCTTGTTATAAAAGAAGTTTTGGGGATATTAAGGCCAACAATAGGGATGTAGGACCCTTATCAAACTAAAACACTCTGTACAGCTAAGGAAAAAAAAAATCAGTCCATAGAGTGAGTATGCTGGTTTGAATGAATATGTCCTCCATAGGCTCCTAGGGAGTGGCACAAAATGAAAGGATTAGGACACATGGCCTTGTTAGAGGAATTGTGTCACTAGGGATAGGCTATGAGGTTTCAAAAGCTCAAGCCAAGCTCAGTGTGTCTCTCTTCCTACTACTTGCTGACCCTGATGTAGACCTCTCAGCTGCCTCTCCATCACCACGTCTGCCTGCATGCCGCCATGCTTTCCTCCATGATGACAATGACCTAAACCTCTAAAACTGTAAGCCAGCTCCATGGTCACAGTGTCTCTTCACAGCAATAGAACACTGGCTAAGACAGTGGGAAAGAATCTTTGCCAACTATACATCTGACAGAGGATTAATATCCAGAATATATAAAGAACTCAAAAAACAAAGAGTCAAGAAAACAAATGACTGAATTTAAAAAAAAATGGACTATGGCTCTGAACAAAGAGTTCTAAATAGAAGAAATAAAAATGGCTAGTAAATATCTCAGAAGGTATTCATCATCCTTAGCAAGTAGGAAAATAAAAATTAAAACAACTTTGAGATTTCCTCTCACCCTATTCAGAGGGCAACTGACTGCTGACTGCTGTGGGAGGGAGAGCTGGGCTCCCAGGGATGATCCCCCAACTCGCTTTATCCATGATTGTAAAAGTAGTTTCATTTGCTAACCTAGGCCCTAGTCCTGGAAGCTTCCAGCCTCCATACAATCTAACCTAGGCCTAGACTGTTTTCAGCCTCTGAGACTTACCGCTGAATAAGCTCACCCTTGTTCTTTCTGAGCTCATAGCTGGCTGGTTCAACTCACCTATTTTTGGCTCAAATTCCACTCCAAGGTGACTGGTTCAAACTGGCTTCTCTCACTTCTGACTGAATTGCTCTCCTTGGCCTCATACTAACTTTGGCAATATGTTCTAATTTTCTGGTCCTTCTCATTCTCTGGGTTGTTCTGTCTTCACCTATATCTAGCTTGTGCTCTCTTTACAACGGTCTCCTAGCAAAACTGCCTCCTCCTTCTGTGCTGCTCTCTCAAGTAGCTTCTCTTTCCTCTCTCTTCTCATGAGAGTTGGGCATATCCTATTCTGTCAAATCTTTCTCTGATTTATCACTTTGTCTGCCTCTCAATTAGACATTCCTTCCCAACACGGTGCCTCTTTCTATCAACTAACTTAACCTTCATTGTTTGTGATTAAAGGTGTATACTAAGGGCATGACTGCATTCCAGCTGGATCACACAGACCTAGAAGGTCTTTGGATGTGATCAGAGCAGCCATGTTGATGGATTAAAATTCCTGTACACAATACAAAATCACCAGTCTTAAAATCATATACACACAAGCAATACTAAAAAGATTTAGCAAGCTGTATTTACACATTTATGCATACATACATAACGATAATAAAGAGAGACCGTCTGCCTGAGAGGCTGTGGAGAGGTATGACAGGGGCTGAGGAGAGGGGACATAGAAGAGATTAGAGGCAAAGAGAATAAGGAAAGTGACATAACTGTATTTTAATTACAATTCTAAAACAAACAAACAAACAAACAAAAACATCAAACAAGCTGAGAGCATGGTGCACATCTGTAATCCCAGCACTCGGGGAGGCAAAGGCAGGCAGATTCTGTGAGTCACAGGCCAGCCTACTCAACAAAGCGAGGCAGGACTTTCAAAGCTATACAGAGAAACACAGGAAAAACAAACAAACAACAACAACAAAAAACCCTTAAAAACAATCAGAACTGGTTGTCATAGGCCCAACATCATAGCTAGCACTACTTAATGTTGTCTGTTTTTCCTTTCTTCTCTCTTTGTTCTGTCCCACTCTCTTACAATAGACTCTAGTTTTTTGGTATTGTTGTGCTTTGGATGAGCTTCTCAGTGTCACACAAACCTCCCCTCATGAAGGTTGCCCTCAGCCATGCTTACGAGAAGAACATGTTGTACTGCAGGTCTTCGATAGTTGAACGGGAATAGTCTTCAAAGAAGTAGACTCCAGTCACAGCAAAAATGTAGAAGAAAATAAGCAGCAGCATCAAGAGGAACGTCATGCTCTAGAGGCCATGATTCAAGTCAGGGTGGAGAAGAGCTGCCCAGCATCCCAGTCAAGGCCACTTGGCCATCTCCCACCAGACCACAGCAGTTTACCTCCCATCCTTTCTCAGGAAAGGGTATCTCGTAGACCCTCTCATGACCTTCCTTGACTGTACGAAACATTGAACCCATGTCTTTCTTTCTAACTTGTCCCTCACCCCACTTTTGATTAATCAGTTCAAATCACCTTCAAAGCTCTGACCAGAGCCAAAATGATAACTTTAATTTGACGAAATCGTGCGAACAGTTTGAGAGACCTCAGCACCCGGGAAACCCTCAGCAGCTGGAGCCACACGGAGTTCCCCGAGACTCCCATAAACACCACAAACTCAGGGAGCAGAGACTGTGGGAGACACGGAAAGTAAGAAAAGATACTCAGAGCACCCAGATACAGTCACACCCCTTTCATCTCTTCTTCCTAGTTCTCTGGGTGTTATCTTTGGGTAGCATTCTCTGGGGACTGTTTCCAGTTTTTTTTATTCTAATCTGTTTAAGCTATGTACTACAACTTATAGATATTTTTTAAATGCAATAAAGTTAATGCTTATCTTTTGCGTTCTTACAGAACATAAAGATAATACAAACAAAATACTTAAACTAGGGGCTGATATCTAATGTCCAGGAACTGGTAGATGCTATTTTAAGGGGCTGATGTCCCTAATGACAACAATTTCTGCAATTACTTATAGTTTTATAGGAAAAAAAAAATCAAAGCAAAGAAAGTTAGATAAACATTTATACATTCCTTCTTAGAGGTTTCAGCTAACTTAATTTACCTAGGCACATTGATGATCCCTTTAACTAACCCTAAAAATATCTACCCTTACCAACGTGGTAACAGTAAAGTCAAAGACATTCCAAGCACTCTTCCAGAAGAGAAGAAAGCTGGACATCCACATTAGAACGATCTCTAAAATGAAGCTAAGCAGGATAAACCAATCTGCTACCCCCAAAGTCAGCTTCAACGGCCACAATTTAGTATTTGTGGATTCCATCAACTCTGTAAGGTAGAGCAAGGGAGAAATGAAAAATAAGTGGGATGCTGAATAATGAAGGGTAATCACTTATAAACCACTACTGTTCCATTTCTCTTTGAAGTTGTCTTTTTTTTTAGACTTTTTTATGTATATGAGTATCTTGCCTGCATGTATATATGTATGCGTGCCTGCTGCCCAACCCTGAAACTGGAGTTACAGACTGTTGTAAGCGCCCATGCGGGTGCTGGGAATCGAACTTGGATCCTCTACAAGAGTAATGAGTGCTCTTAACTGCTAAGAGCACATCTGTCCAGCCCCAGTTTCTCTTAATGCTGTTGCTTCAACCTACATAATAGAGCAGAATTATCCATAAAACAGCCCTACTTCACCTCTTGTTACTGGTATAACTAATAGCTGCAAGTCACTTACAGCCCATTCTACAGTCATCACCATAGAATTTCCCTCTTTACCATACCCCACCATCTGCCACACTATTAAGTTTGTCCTAAAGTTTATAGGAAAACAATGGGTATTGTTTACTGAGTGAAAATGTTGAAATAAGACATTAAATCTTTTAAAAAATTAAATTTCTGAATAATTTCAAAGATGCATTTTACATTGATGTGTCCAGGATAACTTTTCTTGCTTAGTGGTAAAAAAAAAAGTAGTGCATGTCACCAATCATGACAGCTTAAGCTTAAAACAACAGTTTTTCATTAATAACAATAAATTCTGGGCCAGCAAGGTGGCTCAGGGAATAGAAGTGCTTACTGCCAAGTGTGACAACCTAAGCCTGATCCCCAGGAAAGAGAGAACTGACTTGTGTGAGTTGTCTTCTGACCTCCACCGCTGAGCCATGACATACACACATACACACAATTAAACAAACATCTGGCTCCCACAAGCAGAGTTTACATATTAGAAGGCACTGGAGACCACATTTAGTCTGGAAAGTAGAACATAATGATGTATATTCAGTTTTGTTTTTATAAGCAAGAGTACATACAGAACAAGAAAGTGATTTGGGGGCTGGAGAAACAGCTCACTGGTTAAGAACACTTTCTGCTCTTCCCGAGCACCGAGTTCAGTTTCTAGCATTCAAGTTGGGCAACTCACAATTCCAGCTCCAGGAAATCCTACACTTTTCTGGCTCTGTCGCCACCAGCACATATGCATACATGCACACACAGTTAAATAAATCTTTAAAAAAACCCGAAAAACAATGACGTGGTTTGTGATTTAAAGAGTCTTGGAAACAGGAATCTGATAAACTGAATAGTCCAGATTAAAAAAAAAAAAAAAAAAAGCAGCACTCTTTCACAAGCTGGAAAAAAAAGGGTAATTTGTAGATGTTAAACAAACTGAAGAAAATCAGAGGAACAAACAGCAGAAATGGCTTAAGTGAGAAAGAATGTGCAGAGTGACGACCACTAATGCTGTATCAATGAATGAAAATGTGTTTGGAGATGAAAATATAACTATTTCATTCCACTACTTAAGAGACTGAGGCAGGAGGATCAAAAATTCAAAGGCAGCCCAGATTACACAGTGAACTACAGGCCAGCCTAGACTCTTCAGTGAGACCCTGTAACAAAGCCAGGTATGGTGAAAGATGCTTTTAATGGACCCTCCGGAGGCCAGCCTAGTTTACCTGGAAGATCAAACAAAATCCAACAAACCCAAGCTTAGGAGTGAACACCTGTACTCCAGCTGGTACTTGAAAGGCTGAAGCAGGCCTGAAACAGGACAACTGTGGAAGTTCTGGGCCATCCTGGGCTACCCCGTCTCTAAAAATCAACAAGTCTCAGCAGTTAAGTGCATTTACTGCTCTTGCAGAGGACTTGAGTTTGGTTTCTAACACCAACAAACTAATCCACCAAAATTTAAGCCTGCTTTCACAAGGCAAAAGAACCATGCCTGAACAGAGCTAAGAAGCCCAGTGCAGTCAACCTAGGAGACCTAGCCAGTGTGGTGGACAGGAGGAGAAACCAGGAGTTTAACCAGATACGTCAGGCAGGTAGACAAGGAGGAGTCACCTGTTGCTACTTCCTATTATAGCAACATCAATCAGCCATAGTAAAGTACTAAAGTTCACACTGGTTGTGAGGAAAATAAATCCAAGGCTATGGAGCAGAGTAACACACTGTCGTTGGTATATGTGTTTCACCAAAGACAATTGTGATGTTGGAAAAGAATCAGAACTTGCGGTTCATGAGTTCAAATCAGCCTTACAACTGAAAGACGCATGTTTTGCTTTTATTTTGTCCTGCTTGAAATGCTGGGGAAAAGTAAAGGGTTTACACATGCTAGGCAAGTCCTCTACCCCTGGGCTAAATGACAAGCCCTAATCATTTATTTTTATTTTTTTACAAGTAAGATTACAAGAGCCTAAAGAGATGGCTTACCAGCTAAGAGCACTGGCAGAATACCCTGGGTTCTATTCCCAGCAATCATTCAGAGGACTACAGCTATCTGTAACTTCAGGTCTAAGGCACCCAATGGGCAGTGTGTGCACAAGGATACATGCAGGCAAAAACACCTATACATATAAAATAAGATAAATAATAAATACATAAAAACAGTTGGGTTGCCTCCAAATCATTGATTTGCCATGTTACATAATATGAAATAAGACTGGTAAAATCCTCAAAAATTAAGAAATACCATATGAAATAAAAATAACACTTAAAAGGGATTTCTTAAAAATAACATTTGCTAGGGCTAGAGAAATGGTTAATGGTTAAAAACACTTGCTGTCCTTGCAGAGTCTGAGTTTAGTTCTCAGGTCCTCCATGGTGGTTCACAAACATCCACAGGCACAACATAATGCGCACACATGATGCACACACATGCATGCAGGCAAAACATTTATACACATAAAAAAGAACCTAAAGAATTTTAAATTACACTTACTTTGGGGGGGGGGTGCTCGTGCTATAGACACATGTAGAGGTCAGAGGGCAATCCTTGGGGGCAATGACTTCTCCCTTTCCATCGTGTGGATTCAAAGAATTAAACTTGGGTGGCAGGCTTGGGGGCAAGTAGCTTTATCCACTGAGACCTTGCTGCCCTTTCCCAAGAACTTCTGGGGAAAGCTGAAGTCTCCTCCATAGTTACAGCTCCAACCATAAAGGTTTTAAGTCCTAAAAGACTTACCTGGTTTCCATCACTTCTCCTAAATTTGCTGTTGCCTCAAGTATAACAATAATTTTCCTACAGTTAGCATATGAGAATCATCCCTCTTTTACACACACCAAGTGTCTTTTGAGGGAGCTTTTTATTTTGAGACAGTCTTGGGCAACTCAGCTGCCCCTCAAACATACCATGTATGGCTGGGAAGCTGGCTCAGGGTTAAGAGTGCTGGCTGCTCTTCCATTCATAGCACCCACTTAAAATTCACAACTATCTGTAACTTGAGCTCCAGGGGATCTGACATTTACTTCTGGCCTCTGAGGGCATCTGTGTGTCCATGTGAGCATGCCCACACTGAGACACAAAATAAATCTTTTTTCAAAAAGTATAACCTAATCATTAAAATGCAATATGCCAGCTGTCAGAAGTCTAGATTAGTTCCCAGCCCAATCATCACCAGAGAGACTTCATCCAGCAACTCAGAGGAGCACATGCAGAGACCCACAGTCAAACATTAGGTGGAGCTCAGAGAACAGCACCGGAGAAGAGGAAGGACTGCAGGAGCCAGGGAGGTCAAAGACACCGGGAAAACATGACCCACAGAATCAACTAAACAGGGCTCCTAGGGGCTCCCAGAGACTGAACCAGCAATCAGGGAGCCTCCGTGGGGCTGTGCTAGGCCCTTTGCATATACGCTGTGGTTGTGTACCTTGGTGATCTTGTGGGACTTCTAACAGTGGGAGTGTCTCTGACTCTTTTGCCTGCTCTTAGAAGCATCTCCCTTCTACTGGGTTGCCTTGTCCAGCCTTGATGTGAGGGTTTGTGCCTAGTCTTACTGTAACTTATTATGCCATGTTTAAATGATAGTCCTCTTTTCTGAAGGCAAATGGCGGAGTGGAGCTGAGGGGTAGGTGTGGGGGAACTGGGAGAAGTGGAGGGAGGGGAAACTGTGGTCAGGATTATTATATGAGAGAATACATTAAAAATAATAAAAGGATAGCCTAAACAATAAAATGTAGTACACAATTTTCAATTTATTTCCTTTATGTTTTGGAGAGTTTTGCTATGTAACCCAGACTGGCCTAGAACTCATAGTAAATTCTCCTGCAACCGCCTCTCAAGAGTTGGGATTTCTGCTGGCAGTGGCGGTGTACACCTTTAGAGGCAGGGGGCTTAGATGAGTTTCAGGAAGGAGCTGGGGATTCAGTTGGAGGTGTAGCAGTTGGCGTAGCATGCACAAAGCCCTAGATCCAATCTTCTGCACCCCATAAACCTGGCATGGTGACATGTGCCTACAATCTTGGCACCAGAAACTGAAGGCAGGAGGATCAAAAATGTAAGGTTAGCTTTAGCTACACAGGACATTTGAGACCAGGCTGGGCTTTAATGAAACCCTCACACACATTCACTTTCTTTTGGCCCTTCCCTCTCTCTCTCTCTCTCTTGCACACACAGACACACAGACACACAGGAAAATTCCAGAAGCAGAGAGGATGAACCACAAGTGAGAATTTCTATTGTTCTTTCATTCTGAGCATTTTTTTAAGTGAACTTTGTTTCTTCGAGACAGAGTTTTACTTCACAGTGCAGGCTGGCCTTAACTTGACCCTGCCTCAGCTCCCAAAGTGCTGGACTGAAGGCATTCACAGGCACTCCTGACCTGGGCAATCCGGCTGAGTTAACAACTAGATGAGATGCCCTTCTGCTTTTAAGACAGTTCATGGAATTTATAAACGGTTTAGAGTCCACTTGCTCCTGGCCAGGCAGAGCGGTTGGTGCACACCTGTATTCCCAGATAGAAAGCTGAAGTAGGAGGTGAAGTTCAAGGTTCCTCTGACTACATATGGAGTTCAGTTAGTATAGGCTTTGTGGGACTGCCTCAAAAAAATAAATGAATTAATCTGTCCCTATCACCATGAGATAATACCTGAAAATATAAACTGATCAGGTTGGAAGAAAACTATCTTCCACACACTATCTTTTTCATTCAGCACCAGTTCTCACCTGTTTCGACCATCAGCACAATTGTATTCAGAAAGATGAGGGAGATGATGAAATTCGAGAAGATAGGGCCTGTTTTCTTTTAAGGAAACATGCTGGTGAAGTGTGTTCCCATTTATGTATCTTAAAAAATAAAGACAGCAATGTCAGATACGAGAATTTGAAGAAAATAGTTTGAGAGAGGAAAAATAAGTCACTAACAAATGAAGAACAGCCACAGAAAACAGTGAGTGACACAAAAGGATACTCTCAAGAACCCATCCAGCCCACAAGGAAAGAGGTGGTCTCTGGCTGCACCGCACATGAAGCCGGCTTAGCATCCGCTGGGAATGTGTAATGCCCATATGCCGCGGCTTTATGGAGAAGCGCACTAGCTGGTGCTGATCTCCTGACATGAGTTTCTTCTGACGAGAAGGATCTGTAACAAAAGTGGGAAGGTAACTGGGCATGCCTGTTGTTCAGCCTGCACCCACCAGCACTGGGAACACCTAAAACTGCCTTCTTATCTACCCCAGCCTCCCCGAGAAACAGAAAGGACAGAGTAGACAGAGACAGACTTGGGGGCTGTGAACAGCAGGTAGAGTTGGGATAGGGATGCTGGTGAAATAACAGGCCCTTTCCAGTCAGCAGGAGCTTTGCCTTGTAAGCTGCTCTTCCTCAAAGCAGCTAAAAATTCTATTAGTTCGAAGTGAAAATGTATAGCTTATTAAGTAACACTGCCTGTGCTCATGAAAGCAGCAGGCACTAACCTCAAAGTGATATTCTGTTTATGTAGCCCCAGCTGTCTTAGAGCCTGCTATGTAGAACAGGCTCTCCAGTGCGGAGATCCACCAGCCTTTGCCTTCTAAACACTGGCTTTAGAACTGCCACTAGAACCAGCCCAGAGGCCTTAAAGTTTTAAGTACCTTTGGTGAAAACTTTTTTTTAAGATTTATTTATTTATATAAATGAGCACTCTATTTTCATGTATGCCTGCATGACAGAAGGGAGCATCAGACAGAAGAGGATATCAGATGTGAGCCACCATGTGGCTGGAAATTGAACTCAAGACCTCTGAATGAGCAGCCAGTGCTCTTAAGCACAGAGCCATCTCTACAGGCCCTGTTGAAAACTTTTCAAAGTCAGTCAGGGATACATGACTAGGACTCAGAGGAAGTGATAGAGGTCCTATAGCATAGATTCAAAGTTTTACTTAAAAAGCCATAAATTTATTGTGTTTAGTGTTGCTTCTTATCCCTAAATTTTTTCTTTTATTTGTACTTAAAATTTTTTATGTAGCTGGGTGGTGGTGGCACACACCTTTAATCCCAGTACTTGGGAGGCAGAGGCAGGTGGATCTCTGTGAGGCCACCCTGGTCTACAGAGCAAGTTCCAGGACAGCCAGAGCTATACAGAAAAACCCTGTCTCAAAAGACAAACAAAAAACCAAAAGCATTAGTGTGTATATATAGGTCAAAGTACAACTGTACAGTTAAGTCACCTTCTTGTGCCGTGTGGATTCTGGGGGTGGAGCTCAGGTTTCTGGACCTGGCAAGTACCTATACTTACTGAACTATCTCTCTGGCTCCCTTATTTGAGATAGGGTCTCACACAACCCATACTGTTCTCAAACTATGTAACCAAGGATGACCTTGAACTCCTGAGGCCTCTTCCTCCAGAGTGCTGGAATTGTGGGCAAGCATTGCCCATTCCTACTTATGCTCTCTCTCTCTCTCTATTTCTGTCTCTCTCTATTTGTGTGTGCATGCATGTGTACGCCAGAGGACAGTTTTGGGGAATCAGTTCTCTTTCCAGCTGGGTCCTGAGAATCAAACTAGGTTATCAGTATTGGCAGCACCTTTGCTCACTAAGTCATCTTGCCAGCCCTATTTTTTTGTTTGTTTTTGTTTTTTGAACCAGGATCTTCTTATGTAGCCCAGGCTGGCCTTTAACTTGTGATCTCCCTGATTCAGTCATATACCACCATTCCTGCCTCCACCCTTAAATATGTCTCTACTTTTTATCTTTTGAGGATATGGGCAGGAATATTACGTTTAGCGTGAATGAAGTTTGCTAACCAAGTATCTCCCGGACAGTGTGCCTTGGTACAGCTTGGCTCAAGCCTTGCAAATGCTCTATGAGGGAGAAGGTGTCAATGAGCCGTGACCGAATAGCATCAGCTCTGGGCAGCTGTAAGTGTCCTCCTTCCTCTGTCATGTCTGTTAAGAAAATAGAATCATTTCATTAAGAGTTGCATCGGAGTTAGAGGGGTTTGGCTTTGTTATTTCTGGCTCTCCCCTCCTCCCCACCTTGTTTGCCTTTAAAAGATCTAGGGAGCCCACACAAAGAAACTATGAACAGTTAAAACATTGAAATAAACATTGAAAGATTCAAAAGTTTGCTGTTGTTTAGTTTTGATGGTGAGCAATACTTCCACAGTCGGCTAACTGTCCAGGTATCTTCATTTTCTGACGGCATTTCTAATTAAATACTCCTTTTTAAAAATTAGGTGTCAGTGCTGGACAGGTGTTGCACACCTTCCAGTCCTGGCACACTCAGGAGGCAGAGACACTCGAATCTCTGAGCTCAAGGCCAGCCTGGTCCAGGGCAGCTAGAGCTTATACAGAGAAATCCTATCTTGAAAAACAAACAAAAATCAGTTTAAAAGGCTGCCCTGGCCTTTGGGGACGTATATTTCTAATCTTGTGAGACCTTCACACACACACACACACACACACACACACACACACTCCTTGTGAGACCTTGACACACACACACACACACACACACACACACACACACACACACACACA